CTTTCCGAGTTTCCCCAAAAAATTATCCCATATCGTAGGTTTGATTCAGCTACGCCATGATACGCCATTAATAGAGCGTCATTATGAAGTACCGGGGCAAGTCTATGTAACGCATATGCAGCCTTACTATTTTTTTATATAATTGGTCTGTATGAGACTTTCAGTTAATTTTCCTGTCAATTGTCAATCTTAAAAACTTAGTGGATATATTTAGTCTTGCTTAAGTTTATATTGAAGTTATTATTTAACATCCATTGAATTATATTTGTCAAGGTTTTATTAATATAATTTTCATATAAGTCAGTATTAGTCCTTTCTATTATAGCTGCACTGTCGGTAGCAAAAAGTGACATTGGACTATTAGTTTCAGCAGATCGTTTATATACGTTATAAATAGCAGAGGACCCAGTACACTGCCTGTTTCTTCGCGTTCAGTTATCTGATTTACTTTTTTTTTAGTTCTGTATACTGCTTCTGTTATTTAAATAAGATTGGCTGAGTTCCAGTACATTTCTTCGTACTCCATAAGTATTTAATTTACTTAGGAAAATATTGTGATCCACATAATCAAAGGCCTGGGTCATGTCACAGAATATAGCACATAATTCGAGGTAGAGCCATGCTGCAGCTATATTACTGATATAGTTGTAGCACGAATCTGTCGTGCTACAACAATAATATAGCTGCAGCATGGCTCTACCACGTATAATACGTTCCATACGTTCTTTATTTTCTTTTTGAAAATAGGCTAAACAATAGAAGTTTTTAAGCTGTCTGGGTATACGCCAGCGCTTATGCTTAGATTGATAATGTGGTTAAGGACTAGAAATGTATTCTCTAACTGCTTTTTGACTTTTGTGGATATGACATCATAGCCTACACTGGATTTATTTGCTAATTGAGATATTATTGTCATAATATTTACTGAAATGCTAGGCGTCATAAACATCGATTCACGTTTATCCGATATTAGCTTTGTTATTTTAGTTCCATGTCCTGATATAGGAGAGAATTTTCCTATGAAATAATTATTAAAAACATTGCATATGCCTCGAGGGTCGGAGATAATCTGATCTGTATCCGTTTGTATTTTTGAGATACAATCGTCAGGCTGGTTTTGTTTTAAACTATTTATTATTCGCCATGTCATCTTTAATATATTATCTGATGTCTATATTTTGTAATTATTTTGCGCAAGTTGAGTTAACTTGATAATTCGTTTGAATATTCTACTATATTTTAAATAGTTTAATTTGTTTCTTTTTGTAGGCTTTAGTTTACAGGTCCATAGCAACTGCCTTTTTCTTTTGCTGCACATTATTATTCCACGGGATACCCATTTAGGTTTACTGATTGTTTTTGTTATTATATTCAGGGGGACACATAAGTTATAAAATAGTTTAAAAATAAATATAGCATGTACACAAATAATTACGAACTAATTACTTGGTGCACCTTATCGATCGATTTTATTTTATTGCTGGCTCTTTATGACTTGCTGCTTCCACAACTGATCAGTAATACAATATCTACCGTCTTTTTAAAAAAAATCTACTTATTATAGTATGTACACAAATAATGACTACCTAATTACTTAGTGCAGCTCATCGATCGATATTATTTTGTTGCTGGCTCTTTATGACTTGCTGCTTCCATAACTGAACAGCAACAAAATATCTACAACCTTTTTTTACTAAAATTCTTCAGTAAAAGTAGTATGTACACAAATAATTTTTATTTGATTACTTGGTGCTGCTCATCGATCGATTTTATTTTGTTGCTGATATTTTATGTCATTTCATTTCCATTTCTGACCAGCAACAAAATATCTGCTGTCTTTTTTTAATTAAATGTGTACATGCTGCAAAAAAATTAAAATTTCATGTGTGCATGTACACATTTAATTTGTAACTTATTACTTGATGCAACTTATCGACCGATTTGTTGTTGTTGTAGGCTGTCTAGGAGTTATTGATCTAGTGGATGAGAACTCTGCAATAGCAGCCTCACTCGCTGATGAAGAAATTCTGATGTCAGTGAAGAAAAATGAGGAAGAACAAGACGACGAAGAAGACGTGAATGATCTTGAGCCACCAATAAGCATTGATCAAGCTTTGCATGCCGCAAAACTATTGGAAAAATTATTTTACGATGATCCCACTATATCCCAAGATATTAATAAAATACAACGAAAGATACAATTAAAATACTGGAATAAAAAACCACAAACAAAGTTAACAGATAATAATTTTTTTAGGTAATTTTTTTCACATAATTTAGTCGAAATTAAAACCTATATAAAAAAAAATTATATTGTTTTCTTTTACTCTCCATTTAACGAAAATTATAACGCCATAAAATGCCCGGTCCTTTCAATTTCGCTATATGGAGTTTACACTGTGTATACATTTTCCTATCTTTAAATTGAAACAAATATTTAAGAACACGTAGTAGTGAACAGAGAACACGTGTACACAGTTTTATCTTATTTGATCACTTAACACTGTAATATCTCTCGTGCTCTTGATAATGTTCGACACAATAACGTACAAATACAAATTCTTTATTTGCATAAAACACAATTGACAGGGTCTTCAGTTAAACATCTACTATCTACATGTGTTTAGTCGGCTCGCAGACGTGCAAATATTTAGGTACATAAAACAAAAAACTCATTAAGCACATAAATCATTAAACTAATTTTTCCATTCTAAATATTCTTTTAGGCTATAGAAACAATTTTCCAGTAACCATTTCATTAAATTATTTTTGAGAGGCTCCTTCTTTTTCTTTTAAATTCTTAGGTAATGTGTTATATAATGATATGCTTATGTTATTATATACATTTCTCTTATACAAATCTTTATGACAGGGAGGTTGATATATTAGGTCTGCATATTTACCTCTTAAACGCCTTGTTGTAGTATCTTGGCGGGATTTAAAATACTTAGGGAATGCTTTGACAAAAGCACAGGTTTCTCTGATATATAAACAAGGTAATGGAAAAATATTATATTTTTTAAAGTAAGTTTTACAACTATCTGAATACCAAATGTTGCTTAAGGCACGGATGCATCGTTTTTGAACTATAAATGCTCTTACTACCTCAACAGAGTTACCCCAAAGCAATATCCCATAGCTGAGCACCGATGATACGTAGCCATGGTACGCGGTGAGAGCAGCCTCAATTGATATATTTTGTCTAACACTATTTAAAGCAAAAGTGAATCGTTGAAGCTTTTTACAAACGATATCAATATGCTCCTTTCAGTTTAGATGTGTATCAATATTTACTCTTAAAAATTTATAGTTATCTAGTTCATCAATTTTGTTATTGTTGTATAGAATATTAGTGTTGTAAATGACCTGTATGCTCTAAATTGCGTAGTTTTCGTTTTTTGTAGATTGACCCTTAAATCATGAGCCTCCAACAATTCTATGATATTCGTTAGTGTCGTATTTGCAAGCGAATCTAATGAATTATTACCATAACTTTTAACTATTATAGTAGTATCGTCTGCAAAACTGATACATTTGTGTGAAGTGGCATTGGGAAGGTCATTAAACATACAATAAAAATAATAAAGGACCGAGTACACTACCCTGTGGTACGCCTGTTTTTTTTTTTAAAAATAATAATTGAGAACGATGAGTTTCTTTAATTAAAATGTTATTTTTGTTATCTAAATACGTAATCCACATGAAAGTAATTTTTTAGCGTGAATAGAATAGAAAATAATAATTTTTACTTAATATAAATTACAAAAAAACTTATTGAAAGTCATTTATGCTTTTACCGGAATTTCTACATTATTCGGAAAAACCATTAAAGAAACCGCAAGAAACTCAGCAGGACATTTTTTGTGGTCAAAACCATTGAAGATGAAACCATCGTTATCATAATATTATTAACTAGCTGTTCCCTGCGACTTCGCTCGCGTGTGAGGGTTTTTATGTTTTTGTGCGGAACCCTAATTATTTTTCTAAAATAAAAGTAGCCTAAGTTACTCCTTATGAAATCAGCTATCTGCCAGTGAAAGTCCCGTCAAAATAGGTCCAGCCGTTTCGGAGATTACCCGGAACAAACAGACAGATAGACAAAAATTTTGAAAATCCTATTTTAGTTATAAGTACCGTATTTACTTTCATATGCATATAGCAAAAAACTGTAATTTTTACATTGCAAACAGACACTTCAATTTTATTTATTTGTACAGGTTAGTTATTTATTATTACGTCATGACACAGTACATGCACGAAAGTGTCGCTTTAAAACAACATTACTTACTAAAATAGGGGTACCAATATTCTACATTATCTATAGGTACATATAAATAAAATTGAAGTGTCTGTGTGTAATTTTGAAATAACTTGCTTCTATTAATCTCAGGGGGTTATTTGCATGCAATGCAGACATAAATAACTATTTTTAAAATTTTTGTCTGTCCCTCTGTTTAATTTGTGGTCTAATCTTCGAAATGACTGAACTGATCGTGATGAAACTTCTAATAGGTAGAGATCAATAAAAAGAAAAAGACCAGATGAGATCTATCTAGGCTTTATTTTATCCGAACAACTTGCATATTTTTCATGAAAGAAAAAAAATGATAATATAAATGGTCTTTGATTATCTTAAATCTAAATAACTCCCCATTAATAGCTCCAGGTGAAGCCTGGATGTAAGTTTGCAAATAAAACAGGAATCAATATCAAGATTGTATAACTCTGGTGAAAATCGTTTGCCGGCGGGAAAGACTCCGCAAATACGTTAAATTGTTTTCATCATGTTAATATTTTGTAATACTATATACTTCGAACTATTTTATTTAAGTTTACTGGATATTCGTATTAAAGACATCATAATCAATTCTGATATGTTTACTCAATACACTGAAACCAAACGTCAAAACGAAGCCAGTCACGATTACCACGTGAGTAACAGCTACTATTAAACCCCCACTCCCCCCTTATAAAGCAGTCTATGGTGGAGTTCTATTTTCAGTGAACTTTGATACGCTGTAACGGTAACGGTAATTGACTCGATGAAAGTACTTCTTAAGTTTAGGCAGGTCCATTAGAAAATAATAATAATTGACGAGATTGTTTCTCTGCATGATTTCAATTAGGTTCTGCATCTTTCGAATATTATGTTAAGCTGTTGACAGTGAGGAATATTTTAATACACCAAACTGTGTTCAACGCCACCAGTGTCTCCGCTAGGACTAGTGTTCTGTGCTTATGTGACCAGTGCACGCGTAGTCAGAGACATTTACTCCTCCTGATCTACCCGAATAGAAAAGAAAAAAAATTCTGTGTTGAGCCACTATTGTTATAGTGAAATTCATTTCATCTTCTCAGTCTGAATTAAGTTTGCCGTTCCACTGATAAGACTAAAAGGGAGCTGATAAGACTAAATCTAAAGTCTATTCAATTTATCATTATTGAAATGCGAATAACGGTTAAAATGTTCTTTGGCGATGAAAATTAAATTTAAATTCATAACTTAATTCCAGTTAATTTTACTATTTTATGCCAAAGAGCACAGCTTCATTTTATTATAAAGATGCACTGGCGATGGGTGATAGCGGTTATGATATTTTCCAGTAATTGTGTGAATTATATGATGCGGGTTAACCTTAGTGTGAACTTGGTAGCCATGGTACCAATAACCAATTACACAGAATCTGTAAGTATGTACATCATCTAAAAGATTATTTTATTTGCAATATATAATACGATATATTTCATGCAAGTGACGTGAGCATAAACCACTTAAGTGTGATTATATTGTAAGCGTAATAAAACCTCTATTGAGGAAACGTGTTATTGCCAGTATTAGAATTACAAACGAAAACGAAAAGAATGACTTCTCTATAGATATTTTTTATGTTTAAGTAACGAACATTTATTACCACATTTAGTCATTAATATTTTTGATAAAAAGTTGTGTATTGATTTCTGAAATTATAAATATTTCTTGGAAAAGAATATATAGACTTAGAATTTTTTTCATTGTTGAGTGATAGCCTAGATTGCTCTTGGCCGATTTCACACCGAAAGGTGAATATTTTGATGGCCTATATATTTTTTATTCTGGACATTCCCCATCCACTAGTTTGAACAGTTAAACAAGATGGAGTAAATCCCTTCGTTTTTTAAGGCTATTCAATTAAAATGATTTTGCCGATCTTGATAAACTAGTATGTATTTAAATATATTACACTGTTATCGAAATCATCAATCATCATTTAAACAAAATCATCGGTTCTAACTGTTTCTTCTTCTTCGTAATGTCTTAACCGGTTCAGTGCGGGTGACACGCCAGGCGTGCCATCGATTACTTTTGTGTGTGTGTGTGTGTGTGTGTGTGTGTGTGTGTGTGGTGTATGACACGCGAGTCGTGTCTTTTTAAAAATCGTTATAAAATCGCTCAAATTGCTTTTTTGGAAAATTTATCCAGAACAAAATATTCATTATATTGCGAGTAGTTCATGCATGCAGCTTCGTTTCTCGATATTTTGAAAATTTTAAATTTTTAGGGGTTGACAACCTTTTTTAACGTGTACATGGTACTATTTTTACTTTATGGGTTTTAAATCATGTTATGGAAAAATTGTCTAATAAGTAACAAATAATAGCACTCATTGCGATCGCTCACAAACTCAAGTTGTAAATAAATTTCTGGAAAACAAATCTCCTGTCAAAAAAAACAATGCGTTTGTCTTATTGTTTAATTTTGCCTGGTAGAGCCATGCTGCAGCTATATTATGGTTGTAGCACGAATGGATCGATATAAATATCGATAAAATAGCAGCTTAACGCTGCTGTGTTTCGTATGGTGAGTGTAGAGAACCGGAGACCCTTTTTACTGGCAAAGAGGCATTCCATCTTAGTCCTTACGGGTGACAACGCATCTGCATCTTGAGTCTTTATTGAGGATTGATGTAGATGTCTATGGGTCACAGTAACCACTTACCATCGGGTGGACTGTGTGCTCGTGTCACCCGATCCTGTAAAAAAAAATTTTGCTTAAAATGGTTGAACTGCCGTCTTATTACTATCATATGGCCGAATAGACCTACGAAGTACCATGTGCTCTTGTGATATGGTATAAGGTTTATTTTTGCTTGAAACAGTTCGAAACCGTTCATGCATAAAAAAAGTTCGCTAATAAATAGTCTTTTGTCAATCCGTCGCCGTATAGTGCCGGCGTTTTTTTCCTTTTGAAAACACTTGTTTTGCTATTCTTACTAATTAGACGTTTTCAGATCGACATTACTTTTACATTTGTATAACATTAAATAATATTTAACATTTGTAAATATCAATGAATAATATACCTTACTTTTTTTTCAAATTAAGGTTCTTCATTGTTTGATATTTACAAATGTTATTATTAGGTGAAAATTTAATTTAATAAAAACCAAGGTTTCCAGTGTGATTTAGCTGTACCTACTTATATAAATGATTTTTTATAAGAACAAAAAAAGAGTACAAAAGGTTTGTAATCTCTTCATAAAAAAAGTCACTTTCTCTCAATTTCAAAGAAAACGCGTAAAATAACACGTAGTTACCAACTAAAAACAAGTATCCTTCCATTTGTAACTTATGTTTGATGTCAAATAAACTTAATTAGGTCTAAACAAGTAAAAAAAAAACATAAAAAAGAACATTACTTTTACACATGGCGGATGGCACAATAGGCGTGTCATTTTTGTCTGTAGCGCTTGACACGCCCGGCGTGACATGAAATATTTGTTCGCCGCCACAGCTAAAAGTTGTCGAAAATTGGTGCCGCAACGAATCGGTTAAAGCATAGAACAACAAAATAAGCTTAAAATTAACTATTAACAATTTGGTCTAGGTCTATGGATGGACCCATCCAGGAATACTGTGTAATTTCACTCTGTCGCTTCTTACAACACCCACGGGATGATGAAACTGTGTATTCTTAAACCACCACTACACGTTGTTTCAGAATTTCGCATAATTATATTAATAATAACCCACACGTACTTGTACTTCAAGCACAAGAGAGAACGGTATGCTGAAGGCCGGGAAAATCGAAATAGGGAAACGGAACCCAAGGGTCAACAGTTGACCGAGTTCATGGAGAAGGTGACGGTTCTACAAAAAAATAGACTGACTTTAATATAAAAACCTGTCGGCAACTATTCAGAGCTGTCTCAGTGATCGTGAAGGTGAAATCCGACACCATTCCGATAATATCCCGGACGTCATTTTTAATGAGATCAGAGTGGCTCTCCGGTATTTTAAAAACGGCAAAGCTGCGAGCGAGTATAGATTTATAGCGGAACTTCTGAAAGCTGGCGAAAATGCAGAACTTTAAGTCCTTCAAAAACTTTTCAATTTCGTTCTCCATGGTCGCACTGAAGAACTCCAAATCAAACGTGCTATTTTCGAGAGTCGTTACGAATCGTCCAGTACGCAGACTTGACAACTTCCAGTCTGCCGAACAAGCTACGATCCAGAAACGAAGCACGGTTCGGCTGGTACATTTTGAAACAAATTTCCAAAGTGAAGCGATTGAGAAGCGCAGGGAAGATTTTGATATCTTGTTTTCCCACTTTGACTCAATCAAGTCAATTTCTCTTCGAAATCGAATTAGCATCAATACCATTACCATTTATTCATTCATTCATTACAACAAGTCATAAGTCCACTGCTGAACATAGGCCTCTCCCAAGGAAATCAAGGAATGCAACAAAGCACGGTCCTGAGCCACCTGCATCCGTTGACTTCCTGCATGTCTTACCAGTTTGTCATTCCATTTAGTTGCCCTGCACTTCGCCCGCCGCTATGAGGCTGCCACTCGAAAACCTTTCTTCCCCATCGGTTGTCGGTTGTCGGACAGCACACGGCTTTTCGGTTATCCTCCTTACAACCCTGATTATGCACCGTGTGACGTCTTTTTAGTCTCCAACAAAAAATCAGTTAAAGTTTTCATCACTAGAAGATGCGCTAACAGCGCCCGAGTTGGCCATAGAAGAGATGTCTGGGGTGGACTAGAAAAAGTGATTCAAAATATTCTTTATAAAAAGTATGAACATTTGTTTAAATATTGGTGGAAAGTTCTTAGAAAAGTTTTTATAATAAAAGCTTTAATCATAGAACTTTTATTAGTTGCGCAAAAGTTTCTGAGTGGCCCACGTACGTTTTAATTTACTTCATTCTGGTTACAGTTATGCATTATGAAAGCCGTATATTAATTTCATAACATTAAAATTTAACAAATTATAGGTTTCACAAGTGGTGCTGGACTGGACACCATACCAGCGGGCCTACATTCTTGGTGGCTACTTCTGGGGTTACTTAGCGGGGAATTTATTTGGCGGACCTTTAGCAACTCAACTTTGGGGTTCACGTCGCGTGATTTTCTGCACCACGCTATTCAGCGCCATACTGACGCTACTCAGCCCTGCAGCTGCCAAGCATAGTTTTGGCACGATGTTAGCTCTAAGAATTCTGCTCGGGTTCTCCGGGGTAAGCATATTTTTGATGTTCTACCTAAATAAAACTGTTTTAACGACTAAGACAAATGTAACAATTAAAATATGTCTTAACTACTTTCCGATTGTATCATTTTTTACTAAACAATTGATAAAAAACAAACACGCATTTACAGCATAGTAATTTATATTGTTAAACCAAATCAGACTGATGCAAATACGGTTAAATTAAATACCATTTAATGAAACTAATTTTACGGATTTTTTCGCGTTTAATTTAACTTTTTAATTTTTGACGTTTCAGGTGCTTTAGAGCACCCATGGTCACGGGGGCGGGGGGCACTAAGGAGTTTGACGTCCCGATGTCTAGATAATAGCTAGCCCCGCTACCTTCAGTTTTTGAATATTAATTTTTGATCCGATCTCTGCAGAATGAGCTTACAGTATCTTGAAGTCTAGCAGTGGTATGCTTGGGTTTGGATTTAATTTTATTAATTCTATAATTATGATAGCACCCATACATCTTCTCTATTGAAATTAGGATGTTTTTTTTTAATTTCAATAGCCTCGCGAATCATTCTTGGTAGCGATTCCTACGTCGTGTTCTTTTGCGAGGATTTGTGGTCTATCAAATCTAATGTAATGGCGGGGTCGATCTTGAACATGTTCACAGACTGTAGACTTCCCAAAATGTCGGTGTATTACGTCAGCTACGTTAGATATGTTCTTTTACGCGGGTTTTTATAGATCTTTTTGTTTTTTCTATTTACGAGGCACCACATTCACAATCAAGCTTGTACACTCCTGCATCTTGTAGTGGGATATTACACTTGACGGGTGGTCAAAGTTGACTAATCTTCTTCGGCGGCTTGTAGTAAGTTTTAATGGAAGCTCGTTTCAAGTGACGAATGGCAGTGCAGCAGGCACACGCTCTAACTTGGCCGGCTTCACTCGGTCGCTGTGACTTAGGCGCGGGACCCGAAGCTTGTTGTCTTGCAATACTTGCTTGACGTGCTGAAGCTCGGCGGCCAGATGTTTTCTGTCATCAAGGGATCTATGACAGAAAACTCTATGAAACAAAGATTTTCACACAGTAGCTAACAGTGATGGATGGTGGTAAGATTCGTTTAAGTATCGGTTGGTATGGCTCTTTTTCCTACACACAGTTTGACCAATAGTGTTACAAGTATCAGGATTTCGGATGACTAAACATCTAGAAAAGTTAAAGAATTATTTGCCTCTAACTTCATTGTGAATTGTATTTTAGAATTTATGGAGTTGAAGTGGTCCAAAATAAAGTTACTTTGTCAGATGGTAAAACTGTGAAAGTGTCGTCTACATAAGTACCGCTATGGGAGATACAGTTTAGACCATCGCCACACCAACTATGACATCGGGACGTCAAACACCTCAGTCCCCCCCCCCCCCCCCTCGTGACCATGGGTGCTGTGAAGTACCCGAAACGTCGGGAAATAAAAAGTTAAATTAGACGCGATAAAATCCATAAAATTAGTTTCATTGAATGTGTAGTGTTCGCGTAAATATTATAATATAAGAAATCATTAAATACCATTTAAATAGAAAATGCTTAAATGTTCTTCGAACCATAAAATGTTTTTAAATCCCATTTTAATCTATCTAATCTAATTTATATTTCTTTTTAAATAAGTGGCCATTCAGCTACGCTGTCTCCAAAGTAATCATGTACATACTCATATAAACAGAGTTGTCTTATATGATTATAACCTTTACTTACACTTTTTTCTGATCGCGTAAATTTTTTTCAGGGATTTTTATTTCCTGCGAGCTATTCGCTGATAGCCAATTGGGCAGTCCCTACTGAAAGAGGCAAGTTTGTCGGTGCTTTGATCGGGGGTTCCATCGGTACCTTTATTACATGGTCACTATGCGGATTGTTAATTGAGTCTTTTGGATGGGAGTGGGGGTTTTACGCGTTTGGAATTTTTGCGTTATTATGGACAATAATTTGGTGGTTTTTGGTATACGATTGCCCAGAAGTACATCCTCTTATTTCAGCATCTGAGAAAGAATATATTTGCGATGGCATTAAAATAACGAAAAAAGGAAATGTAAGTAAGAATTTATTTTAAATTAGTTTTATATAATATTAATTTAAATTTAAAATTTTATATGAATTTAAATATTAATAAAGTATCTGCTTATGCTTCTAAAGAGACTTCCTCTAACAATGTAGGGAGAACGTTCGAAAAAATAATTAAAAAAAAACTGCTGTTGTCAATTATAATGGAAAGTTTGACAACTACGGCAAATATAAGGCTATATAAAGGGAGGCCTATGTTTAGCTGTGGACTTTATCAAACGTATGTTTGCGAATATGTGAATTTTAGTTTATTCAGTACATTTAAGTAGCTTTTTATAGAAAAAGGATAAAAGCGAGCACGCAGCCCACCCGATGATAAGTGGATACTGTGGCTCATAGACATCTAGATTTTTCCTCAAATAAAAATCAAAATGCATTTGCGTTGTCACTCCTAAGAACTAAGATGGAATGCCTCGTATCCAGTCTCAAGGGTCTCCGGCTGTCTACGCTCATCTCTACACTCATCTAAGCAGCATTGAGCTGCTATTTTACGCTGGTACTCTGTGAGATCGTGGTCCTACTCAGATCGAGCGACCCATTCGTGCTACCCATACGTATAAAAATGATTGCTTGAAAGAAAGCTTGGATTAAAGATATTAAAAGAAGACGTGGGTGTATGTGGTGGCGGCGCAATGCACCATTTCATTTGCTCCCGTGGGAGTCATGAGATGTCGGTATAACTACCTCATTATCTTCAGACGTAAAATACCCAGAATAGCAGCGCGGAATAAGCGCGATGTCTGGTACTAATCCATCTGTCAAGCATGGCGATTAAGGCAAATATCCTCCCTTCTAATGAAGAGGCCCGTTGCCAGCAGTGCACTTTTACTGACTGATGAAGAAATAATATAATTTAAAATAAAAAATTTTGTACAGCCGACTTCAATATGAGTTATTAAGAATAACTGAAAACCTATTGGTCTGACCTTGATCAAATTCATATGAGACCACACGAGAAGTACCAGCTTTCGTATAAAAAAAGAATCATCCAAATCGTTTCACCCATTAAAAAGTTATAAGGTAACATACATAAAAAAAAAACATACAGTCGAATTGAGTACCGTCTCCTTTTTGGAAGTCGGCAGAAAATAAGAATGTATTAAAACTATTTTGTTTTTTTAGGTTTCACCACCAATACGACAAATGCTTACGTCTGTTCCGGTATTGTCCTTATGCGTTATGAGCTTCGGCACTGGTTGGGGAGTTTACTTCATTATAACTGCCGCACCAAACTACCTGGCAAACGCTCTTGGATTCAGGATAACCGCAACTGGTGTGCTATCTGGTGTTATATATTTACTGAGATCCATCTGCAATTTTTTGTTCGGATATCTTGGAGATATCGCATTAAAGAGGAAGCTGTTGTCATTGCGAGTGTTAAGGAAGGTCGCGAGTATTTTTTCACACGTGATACCGGGCTTGTTACTCGTGATTCTGGCGATACCAGCATTTTCTTCGACTGTATATTTGACTATAATTATCACAGCCATGGCAATAAATGGTTTTGTAACATTATCAAGCGGTGCTAACGGATACGACTTAACGAACAATTTTATCGCTCAACTCGGTGGTCTAGTAACATCCTTAATAACGTTTGCTGGAATAATATCACCCATAATTACAGCGTACTTTACTAAGTACAACGAGGTAAGATTTTTTTTAATATTTAATAACTTTAATATTGCAAAGCTTCCATATTTCTAATGCATACTTCGTCGATGTTTTTAATCTCATACAGTCGCGTAGGTGCCCTGCTCGTTGACGTGGTATGTCATTTGGCAATCGATCATTTGGCTTTTACATTTGACTCATAGCAGTATAATTTAAAATTAAAAATTTTCTACAACCGACTTCAATATAAATTATTAAGAACTAGCTTTTTACCCGCGGCTTTGCTCGCGTGCGCTTGAATTCAGGAACATCATTAAATCCTGTTCCGTGCCAAATTTAGAAAAATTCGATCACTTTTAGTCACTTCAGTGTCTATATGTCTCTATGTCTGTCAATTTTTTTTTTCATTCTAAATTACTATTAGACGTAGATGATTGGTAACATTCTACAGAAACACGTGAATATATACATATGTCCAGAAACATCTACTATTTTTTATATCGGGCGTGTCTTCCGATTATTGGAACCATAAGAATGGTAAATACTAAATAGTATTGAAATCAAAATGTATTATTATTATTTATATTTTACTCTTTACATTTATTTATAGTTAAAGTTAATTTAGTTTTAACAAAGTAATATAATGTTTATTTGAGACATTTTATTCATATCATTGGTCCTATTTAATATTGATTGGCACCATAAAATAGATGTAGATATTTTTTTTACTTGGAGTAGACTTGAAAATTTCATAAATACAGTTCTATAATAATGAATACTACACATGGATTAAAACTAATGTTACGGGTGTTTTTACGCATCTTAGATGAAAGTGCCGAGTAAAAGAACATATCGTTGATGTGAGGCACCGAAACTCCGGTAAGTCTAAAGTATGTCAACATCTTTAGTATCGTCCCAACCATTACATCGGATCTGATAAATAACAAATCCTTGCAATAGAACACCGAATCATACCAATAATGATTCGCGAGACTATTGAAATTAAAAATATCCTAATTTTAATAGGGAAGATGGCTGAGCGCTACCATCTGCTGAGGACCCCATAATTAATATAATTGTTGACATCAAGTCGTCAAACACCCCAGTTCTCCAGCCCCTCCCGTTACCATGGGTGCTGTAAAGTGCCCAAAACATCGCTCATTTGAAAAGTTAAAATTAAACGCGATAAAATCCTTAAAATTAGTTTTATTCCTTATAAATTTTATTCAAAGTGAACGTGAGGAGCACTAAACTCATGAACGGGAGTAGAAAAATTTTCACCCTGTTGTGGCGGTGAAAGAAAATCCACCACCTCATATCGTCCCATCGTAAGAGGCGACATAGGAAAACAAACTGGAGATGGGATTGGCTGCATCATCTGTTGTTAGATCAAAATAATAATAGCTGCGGCTGCCAACCCGCCTACCAAGCGTGACAACTATAGCAAACTTGACAATTTATAGGGGAGGCCTATGTTCATTTCAGTGGAGTTTTACTCCTCTTTGCAAGCTTTAATATCTACGGCAGAGTGAAAACAAAAAGCTACATATCCGAAATTACAAATGAAATAAAAACTGCATATATTCCCCTTGAAAAGTAAAAAAAGTAGCAGCTTACATACCTGTTACTAATGGGCACAGGCCGCAGAGTTTTTGGGCAATAAAGTGTTCGCTGCGCCGATTCCAACGCGGGATGAATGAAATGAAAGTTTATTGTTTCCAACATATTCTTAAATTAGTATAAGTTTGAGGACTTCTTTTAAGTATAAAGATACTTATGGTAGAAGGTCCTCGCCCTCCGTTAACTAAATACATTCAACAAAAAAGAAACGGGGTGTGTGTATGTGTGCATACGTGCGCGCGCCCGAGCACGCGCGTGGGTGCGTGAGTGTGCGTGGGTGCGTGAGTGTGCATGCGTGCGTGCGTGCGTGCGTGCGTGCGTGCGTGCGTGCGTGCGTGCGTGCGTGCGTGCGTGCGTGCGTGCGTGCGTGTGTGCGTGTGTGTGTGTGTGTGTGTGTGTGTGTGTGTGTGTGTGTGTGTGTGTGCATGTGTGCGTGTGTATATGTATGAAAAAAGATAGTGAGTGAATGTGTTATAAGCTTATAAGATAAATTGTAATTAAGCTTCAGTTTGATCGTAATTAACTGTCTTAAGCCACTGTATAATTTTTTTCTTACAGTCATATGTCTTTAATGGATATATTTGCAATATTTTATTGTATAAATGTTCTTATTGTTTGTCATATTGATGTTTCGCAAAGGTGGTTTTCGTTCTCCAAATAGGAGCTACGCTATAATTTCTTCTTTTACTACTGTAAATAGGATTAAAAGCCAAAGATTTATGTTTTTTTAATAAAGTGTGTAATATGAAATGTAAATGATTCATAATGATTTCTTATATTTACGCGAACACTACACATTGAATAAAACTATTTTTACGGATTTACGGACAGCTAGCGTTACAGTTACAGTTACCGTTACGGTTACAGTTACAGTACCGGGGTACCTTCAGCTTTTTTAATTAAAAACTGAAGGTACTCCGGTTTAACACTGACATCGGGACGTCAATCACCTCAGTCCCCCGTGACCATGGTTGCTGGAAAGCAAACGAAACGTCGGGAATATAAAATAAGTTAATTAAACGCGATAAAATCCGTAAAAATAGTTTTATTCACATTGAATGATTCAAATTATTTACATCGTATATTCAGTAGCATTGTATAATTTCATTTTATCAATGACTTGCCATTTTAGTTTATTTAGAAGTAAGTAGGTGGCGCTAATATTAGATGAAATAATGAAAGCCAAAACTATACCATCTAGTAATATCAGCTATAGAAGCGAACATTTATTTATTATATCGATAAGGGATAAAGTGATGTCCATTCTCTTAAAAGTTCTGTTTCTGTTAAAAAATACGCTATCAGCGCCGCTAGAGGTGAAAAACGATTTAATGATATCGTCATATTATGATCATATTATGAAATAGCAACGTTGTGTTTAGTTACTAATATCTTCAAACGATTTCTATTCATTGATTTGGTCAAGCTATACCATGACATGGTCAACAAATAGTGTTAAATATCATGAAATGACCACATTATTTCACGAAATGATAGACTACTTTATGATATATGATCAATTCTATGATCTGGCCGCGACTTACATAAAAATCTCTTTAATAAAACTATAATGATAATGAAAATTTTGCAACAATTGCAGACAGACCAGTTTCAATCACTTTATATATATATATATATATTAGTAATTGAGATAAATGCCTTATCAATTTTCATATTTTTGATAGACGTCACTATCTATTGAAATTATTACACTTTTGAAAAAAAAATAACAAAAATACTAAAAAATTAAACGTTAGAATTTTTTAATAATTTTAAAAATCTAATCATTTAATCATATAAATGTAAGTTATTTATATTATTTCATTTATGTATTAGTAACTGAAGGCAAAATATACTACTTTTTCCATTTGCTGATAGATGGCGCTGTTTTGAATACCAAATCGGTGTAGTTACAAATTGTTTTACCAAGATTATAACTATATTTTAAAGTTTATTTACAAACATGGTAGTTATGTGAAAAACACCCGTCATCACTCCTATAACCAAGATATAATAGAAAAATAACATCTAAAGGAAATAAAATACTTAACCTTCCTTTTTTGAAGTTCCGTAATCGGATAAAAAGTAGCCTATAAGTTGCCCCGGGTTACTCACTACCTACATACAAAATTTCATGTAAATCGGTTCAGTAGTTTTTGCGTAAATCCGTAATACATAGACAGACAGACAGACAAAAATTCTAAAAACCACAAATTTGGCTTCAGAACCCTTTATTTAGTCTCCTGCACTTGTTTTTTCAAGAATATATTAGAATTACAGACACGAATTTTCTACAAATTTATATGGGACCACAGCTTTTAAATAAAAAAAGAATCATCGAAATCGGTTCATCCAGAAAAAAAGTTATGAGGTAACACATAAAAAACATACAGTCGAATTGAATACCTCCTCCTTTTTGAAGTCGGTAGAAAATAGTAGCAATTGACTGATAGCAATAATGTTGCTGCCTTCCGCATCGTGAGCGAAGAAAATCGAAGACGGTTTTTCAAGAAGCATTCCATCTCAGCCCTCCAGGAGCGACAACGCATTATCTGGATTTTGATTCTTAATTGTAGGTCGATGAAAATGTCTTTGGGCCACAGCAACTTTACCTTCAGGTGGACTGTGTGATCCTTTGTTACCTTTAATTTTACTATTCACGTCCAACAAATATTAACAAATTAAAGATGATAAAAATTACTTTGCCTATATCTATATATAAATATAGATACAGGCAATATATTATATAAGTCTTCTATAAGAACACCTTCCGCTCTCCCTCAACAGTGTCTTTCTTAGTGTAGTGGTTTTGGAAGTAGTGATGCTGGGATTAGTAGTGACAGGGATAGTGCACGCAATTGAGGTGGGGTTGCTCTTCAAACTAGGTAAGACACATTTTTTGATTTCATTGAATGCATAGACAGTAATTTTCTGCAGACTTCCAAAAAGGAGACGGTACTCAAATCGACTGTATGTTTTTTTTAGGTGTGTTACCTCATAACTTTTACTGGGTGAACCGATTTGGATGATTCTTTTTTATTTGAAAGCTGGTACCTTTCGTGTGGTCCCATATGAATTGATCAAGGTCAGACCAATAGTTTTTGAGTTATTCTTAATAACTTATATTGGATGTCGGCTGTACAAAATTTTTAATTTTAAATTATTACCACCTTTAATATAATGGATTTCCACAAAGTACTTAACGTTTTATTCTTCATTTATTAACATACATAGTTATTCTCTTTATCATATTATTTTATTCATTAAGGCCCAATTTACACTGCCGAGGAACGGAATGGAAGCGAATTTTTGTAACGAAATTGTACATAGTAAAATTAGTTTTATGTTAATTGTATAAAGTCCAAACTAGATATGAGCCAAAAAAAGTCGCGCGTCTTCCGTGCAATTCTCTAGGATTCCCCTAGCTACTTGGCGACGGTTGTGGAATCTGCTTGAAGCCACTCATTCCCACTGGCACTCGCAGCCACTTAGTTAGCTTCGTGGCGCAGTCGCTGGATTTCGCATTGCTCACCACCGGCGACGAGGCGAAATTGACGCTTCCATTCCGCCGCAATGTGAATTGAGCCTTAGGGTTATTTCATCTGAGTCGATGACCTAGCCTATGTCTATTTTTGTGGCAATCAGGGAAAAAGTAGGAGCGAAGAATTATACCTTTTACATGATTTAGCTGTCGTGGTAGTGTGTAGTTGGCAAAATCGTCAGCTAGTTAATTAACTAGGCCAAACTTGGCCAGAGACATTAATTTGGATATAGACTTTGTATTATATTTTTATTGATTGTTAAATAAGTACCGGGTCTCTAGTTTTTTATACTTAATTCTATCAATAAATTTGTAAAATTTTTTTTCACAGGTACATGTAGAAGCATGGCAGCCAGTGTTTTACATTTCATCATCCGTACTCGTTGCTTCGGGTTTACAATTTATTATATTTGGCTCTACAGAAATACAACCGTGGAACGAAATCAAAGAGACAGTGAGAGAGAGAGAGCGAGAGCGAGGGCGAGAGAGCGAGAGAGAACAACTATAAGCATTAAATAAATTGAAGGCCGCAAATCTCAAGATCAAGGGAGCAAACCTACGGAGTGTTGAGTTTATAGTAGAGTAAATTTAATAAAACGACATAATAAATACAAAACATAGTTTTAATATCCATTATTTAGTTGATACAGAGGTATAATATATTATACACTATGTACATAAGAATTCTCGTCTATCAATATAATATTTTATTTAAAAACTCTTAAGAAATAAATGACACAAATAGATATAGTAACGTGCTATCGAAAACACAACAACTAATCAATTAGTAGATTTCTGAAATTGTATAACAAGTCTACTCCTTAAATTACAATTAAAAAATTCTCAAAGAGCGTACAGTTTATACAAATCTTATGAAAGATCAATCTATACATAATACCATTATAAGTTTGCAAACTATTCTTACGTCTTTGGAATTACATCACCAAAACTCAGGTTATGGTCACACACTTCAGAGATTATCAGGCGGGATTGACAAAATTGCTAATAATTAGGTAGAACTAAAAATGTTCTCAATATATTAAAATAATGGTAATAAACAAAACCATTTCTAAGATGTGCTAAACGTGAAATGGAAATTCATTAGCGACAATACGACATGTACCTATTGCACCCTCAATCGATTAACATAACTCATCTTGGTGTCTAGAAGTCCTTCAAACATAGGATTCCGATTCTGTGTCAGACTCCGAACAATCTAAGGCAATAACGTTCTTAACGTTGCCGTTAGGCGGCTCTCTGTACAAAGGTGGTACAGACTTTGATCGAGATGCTTTTTCATCTTTGTTAACGTGTACCGGTTGAAATTTCTTCAATACCCTTTGGTACACCATTTTCCTAGGCGGTACTGGAGGTGGCACGTGTGGTGGTTTCTTATTACTATTGTTGTTCTCTTCACTTTCTCCGACGTAATCTGGTTGAACTGACGTCGGAGTAGCTTTGTATATGTCCGTTGAGAAAATGTTCGTGGATTTATCTTCGTGGAATATATCCCTTCTTCGGTTATAAACGGAGGTATACAGTGGCTCGACGTACTGTGTTGTGTAATAGTTTTCACAGGAATTCTCACTGGCAGGCGAATCAGTTGATCGACTATTGTATGAGCTTTGCGGTTGGTACAGAGTGTCGTTGCTGCTCGAGTCACTTTGCAGAATTATATTCGCCAATGATTTTGACTGATTTAGTTTGTTGTTGTAATTGCGAATTCTTGATTTCTTGTTTTCCTCGGAGTTACTATTGGTGATGTCATCGACGTAGGGATACGAACTCTGCGTCATGTTGGCTGTAGTCTTTTCACTCTCTCTGCTATTCATAGTTGACGCTGTACAGCTTTTCGTGCACATATGCGCGGGATCATATCGCCTCTTTCGGCAACAATTCACGACATTAATTTCATAATTGCCGCTGCGAGCTTTGTCCCCGTTAGTGATGTGGCCTTCATCATTAACTTCTAGGCTCTTAGTCCTCGCTGCTTGACGAGACCAGTCATTTCTTGTAAAAATGGTGGCTGCCGGTGTTGTTTTCACATCTAGTTTACTTTGCGAGGAGTCGCCTTGCTTGCCCACTTGGCCGTAGATTTTTTCCGAAGCGCAATTAGTTTTTGTGTTGTAGTTAGAACTCTTTTTTTCCCAGCCGGTGTATACGCGAGAGTAGTTTGTGTTGAGATTCGTTATTATATCCGATTGCGTTTGATATTGATTTTGCCTTTGTATATTTTCTGTGAACGTGGCGAGGTCGTGTATGTTACTATATACGATATTCTCCTGACTAGACACTAAGTCGCGTTTTGCCTCGATCGCTTCTTGTTTCGTTTCTAGTAAATTATCGGAGCTTTTTGCGCGGCCGAAATTCTTATTGGATACGTTTTTCTCCACTTCTTTCGTTTCGGCGAACATGCTATACACTTTCGATGTCCGAGCTGCTTTCGACACGTTACTCCTTGGTGGTTTCTGTGGTTCAAAGCCGGTTATATACTTCGCTGGGCTCTGTGCGTAAGTATCGGCCGCTGAGCGTTGTATCGCTGATTTGGAAACGTAATTTCTCTCGTCGACACCGTTAGCAATGCTAATATTTATAGAGTTGTGAACATAACGCTCTCCAATGTATGGCATCATGTACAATTCCTCGTTCACAGTGCTGTAAATTTCAGCTTTGTTAGAGTATATGTTCTGATCTCTTTGAGCTATTTGTGGGAGTCCGTTGACGTTGGGATTATTTGCGTATCGTAACATTTTTGTTTCTTGGATATTACACGTCGGAGTCGAAAGACTGTGTAGGATATTACGAGGTGCCGGACTGTTGCCCCCGTTGCTATTTGAATCGTCTTCTGAAAGCGTCAATCCCGAATCCCTGCTTAAAGATAATTTCTCTTTGCGAGGAGTCGACAACTCCATAGAATCAAGTGATATTCCTACAGAATGGAGGCTGTCACTTTCTTCCGCACCAGAGTCAAGTAAGGCATTTGAAGATTCCGAACTACCGCTTCCAAGAAGACCAACAATTTGCGGTCCAAATAAAGCTTCTGCTTTTAAAATGAGAAGTTCCACAATCATCGGCACTGCTTTAGGAGCTTTATCACAAGGCATGTTAGGCCATAATAAGCTTGGCCCTACACAGACCCCTAAGTTCATAGGGCACATTAGATTAATGTTGGATTTCTTGGCGATTGCTTGTAAGAGGCATACGAAATACGTCAACATGTTATAATGCGCCTTTGGGAGCTTCAATAGTAAAGACCGCACCGCTGGAACTTTCTCCGTTTGTGGTAAACCTGAAACAAAAAATAAATAAATTATGTATTACGAATAGCTTATTACACAACAATACAAGAATGAAATGGAATAGGAATATTGATAAAAGATGTTACTCAAAAGATTGATATTTTTTTTAACTAGGGTAATTTAATGAATTTGTGTATAATTGTGCTTCGATGATATTATATATTATATATTATACTAATACTATACACTACATACAACCAAATATCTCCATTTAAGAAGATATTAAGAAATATATACTTCTTAATTCTTTCTATAAATGCGCCAGTTAACAAGTGCATTTATAGAAATAATTAAGCACTATTGTATTTAAAGGTTTGTTGATGTTCGTAGTAAGTCTGAATGAATCAATAACTGACTTTATTTTACGTAATATTATCTGCTAGTATCTTTTTCCTTCAGAGACATTTTGTAATATGGTTTCTATTGCTATCACAGTTTTGCAATTTTTTTTTTGTGAGCATCAGACACAAAGACTAAGAAAGAGTTGAAAAACGCAATTAATAAAACTTACCGAGTACTTGCAACCAGGCGGGATAAAGCTCGGACACGAGTAAAGGTTGTGGCAAAGCTCGAAAGAATTCTTTTACTAGTGCGGCTAACAACAGTACAGGTGCGCGATCCAACTCCGTACAACTCTCTGCCCACGGACCGAGTGTATCCAACTGAAAGGAAAAATAGGTAATTATAAATAAACCACCATCATCTCCTCTTTTCCCACGATAAGATAAAATTATTGTGAAATCTAACCTATTAGTGTTATAATCGTCATAAAAATTTCAACATCTTAAAAATTAAGGCATATGAAAAGTTGATGGAAAACAGTAAATATGAATACAACACAGACAATCCCGGGTAAAACATATGATCATAAACAGTTAAGTTTTCCAGACCAATTTCAAATATCATATTTCAAAACGATAAAGGTACGAGGTTGGTAGAGTTAATTGAAAAAGAGGCGATCCTAGCTATAGCTTCAGATTATAATTATTATTGTTATGTTTGCATACCTAGGTTCAACGTAAACACCAAATTACAAGACAAAACCAGCGGTTGCTAAAGGATTCCATCGAGGGGAGGCGATCCTGCATGAACTTCCAGGTTCCTCCGGTTCACCACACGAAATAGCAGCATAAAGCTAATTTTTTACTCTGGTATTCTGTGAGAGCGTGGTTCTTCTCCGGCCGAGCCTACTCATTAGTGCTGCAACCGTAATGTAGCTGCAGCGTTGCTCGATAGAGCCGATCTAGATATAAAATTTATAACATTCATAACAATTTTAGTGTTGAGTGGAGAAACGGCTAACAAGGCATTTGAAATATTTTTTGTATTGAATAGGGTAACAAACGAGCACACAGTCCACCTGATGGTAAGTGGTTGCTGTGGCCCATAGACATGTAATTCTATCCTCGTTTACGAATCAAAATGCACGTTGGGACTAAGATGGAATGCCCCTTTTCCAGTAAAAAGGGTCTCCGGTTCTCCACACTCACCATACGAAACACATCAGTGTTAAACTGCTATTTTACGGTGGTATTCAGTGAGAGCGTGGTCACGTTCATGCTACAACTATACTACTAATATAGCTGCAGCATGGCTCTACCACGTACAACTATATTCTATTTATGTATTTTCATTCGATGTAATCGTAGTAAAATTAACTTAATTATCGTTAAAAAATAGTCCACTCACCTTATCTCTTAGCAACCTTAACGCTTTTGCGTTTGCACTTCTTCTAAAGACGCCATGGGTAAGGGGAGCGACGACTCTTAATCTGCGAAGAGCTTGAAGCAATGCAGGAGGTGGAGTTCCGTTGCAGAGGCGGGTTAAAGCAACGCCAAATAAACGACCACCACGTCTTAAAAGACGAAGGCCCCTTCCTGGCGTATTATTAATGCTGGAACAAAAATATTTATTTATATTTTATACTAATAGGCAACTCTATACTTTAAAAACATATTATGTTCTCTATAATTCTTTCTCGCGTAACGCTGTATTTGAAGGAATAGAGTTCATCGCTCATGTCGATCCTGTGGGCGTTTATAAGTTTAGATCAAAGAAACAACAACGCACTATCCAATTCGATAAAAAACGATCTCCTGTCTTTTATCGTTCGTAACAGACCATTGTTTGCCGCTCTCTTCAATTTTATAGAATATTTGTCATAACCGGAGCCTTGCGAGGCTAATACTAGAAGCTTCCACCTTTGACACCACTCATCGTCATCTGTCTGGGCATTTAACATCTAGAATATACAAGATGATTATGTTGTGGTATATCGGAGGCCGTAAGATCTTTCTGGCATTTTTTATAGTCAGACTGGACACAATGAAACCGGCGAATAAAAATCTAAACATAAAAGACAAAACAAATGACAGACGGAAGCGTCTAGTATACGAGATTTCTGGCAATGTGATCATCAATCTGTTTTCCAAGATTAATTTTCAAATAAAGACGTTTCCTGCAGACGATAAAGATGTGTTTTTTTCGTCTTAAATCTAATAATGACGTTTTTCTCTCTGATATTGCCAGGGATAACAAGTACTTCGGATTTATGTTATCTATAATATAAAAATGAATCGCTGTATGTGTTGCTAAGCGCAAATCTCGAAAGCAGCAGAACCGATTTCGCTAATTCTTTTTTTATAATATTCATTAACGTACGAAGCTGGTTCTTACGAAGAGAAAAATTTAAAAAAATTGCCTGAAAAAGTCTAAAAACAACACTTTTCTATATTCCCATACAAAAGATTCGTAATAACACTTAAAAGTCAATTTGAACTATAATACCATACCATAAAGTTTAAGTGTTAGTGGAGGGGTTCCGGGAAGGCAAAACAATTGAGTGACGTTAGTATCGTATAAATATTATTTGTCAATATTTATACATACTGGCAGTTAGCTGATGTTATAAGGAGTAACTTGGGCTGCTTTTATTTCAGGGTTCCGCGAAAAATAACTCCACGCGTGCGGAGTCGCGGGGAACAGCTAGTATCTAATAATAATGTTCACAAGACTGAATTTCGATCACGGCGGCCAGCCTCAACGGAGACCAGTCATCTACGCAAGTCAAGATTATAGCGTATGTGTGTGTGCGCAAGCACAGGTGCACTCTCTATTCGCCCACTCTTAGTCTGATAGAGCGGCAATCCTACATTACCGGAGGGAGATCACGCACAGAAACAACGGTTTGACGTGCTTTTAGAGGCACAGCAGTGAAACACTACCACGGAACACTACTAACAATTTCTTGACAGGAAAACCCAATAATTGATTTTGCACAGTCGCGACCTCTGGACTGACGAGACAGTCAAATGTCAAAAGTCAGATGATATGATCAGCATACATTTGCGTATACACCTCTCTAAAACTTACGCGATATGAGATAGGCTAGTCTTAAACAAAGTACAAAACCCCAATACAAAAAAAAAAACTCTCAACAGATATTGATTTGTGTTTTTATACAAATTTTGGCACTTGACCGGATAGGATCCAAACCTAGATTCAGAAACCAAACACGATAGTTTACCAATCGAGTTTAGGTTTTTAACCAATTATTCAAACTTAGTAAGTAGACACTCATTGATCCACGCATTCGTCAACTAAAACGTCCGACGAACCTAAATATTCATTATGCAGATTAATCAATAAAATTATCTTAATGTTTATTTAGAATGAGTCACTACTAACCTCCCACACAATCGTGACTTATACTTAAGTATTAATGCAAATAAGTATTTTATTTTTGTTAATGATAAATTACAGATTTAAAAATAAATTAAAATGTGATACAGGGAAAGGACTTATCCCAATGATTTCACTTAGTCACTTAGTGAATGCGTTATTTACATACATAATACATAAATATACATAAACACTCACGCCTGTCACCCAGAGGGGTAGGCAGAGACTACGGACTTCCATTTGGCGCGATCCTGACACACCTCTCTCGCCTCTTTCACATCCATATATCTACGCATACACGCTCGTCGGTTAAGGGTACTCCTAATCTGGCCCATTTTCAATGTATCGCCGATCTGGTCGATAAACCTTCGTCTAGGGCGTCCCTTCCCGACCCTGCCGTTCACTTCTGCAACATAAATTTGCTTTGTCACTCTTTCCTCGTTCATTCTTTCTACGTGACCAAACCACCGAAGCATTCCTTTCTTAATCCTTGTCACAACGTCATCTTGCAAACCACACTTTTCTCTTATTACACTATTTCTCACCCTGTCATTCAGATTCAGCCCTAGCATACTCCTTAAGGAACGCATTTCTACAGCATTTATTCTACTCTCATGCTTCTTCTGCCAGACCCAACTTTCACTACCATACATTAAAGTCGGTACTAACACAGCATTATGAATTGCCATACGTGCCTTAGTTGACACATTCTGACTCCTCACAATAGCGTGTAGAGCCCCATTCACTCTATTTCCTGCGTTCACTCGTCGTTCTATATCCTTATCATATCTACCATCCCTGCTAAATAAACATCCCAAATATACAAACTCATCCACTTGCTCAATCAACTCCCCTTCTACTCTTATTTTACATAAAGTTTTACTTTCTTCTCTTTCAAAAACCATCACTTTCGTCTTACTTGCGTTCACTTTCATACCCCTTTCTTTCAATGAACAATTCATTAAAGTAACCATCATTTGCAACTCGGCCGCCGACGATGCAAATATGACTTGATCATCGGCGTACAAAAGGCATTTGACGGTTGACTCACCCACATTCTTCAACTTTCAAAGTTTGCAAACAACTGTCCATAAATAGGTTAAACAGCCACGGGGAAGCCACACATCCCTGTCTGACACCTTTATGAATGCCAAACCAGTCCGAGTAGACCCCGTTGATCCTGACACAAGCACTAGAGTCCCTATAAAGAGACCTTAATGCCTGTACCAAGCCAGCGCTCAACCCAAATGAGTTTAGTGTTTGCCATAACACGTTCCTGTCCACTCTGTCATAAGCCTTTTCCAAGTCTAAGAACGCACAAAAAACTTTCTGGTTTTTAGCCAAAAACTTCTCCACTATCATGCGCATGGAAAAGACTTGATCCGTACACCCCATCCCCTTTCTAAATCCAGCTTGCACATCCCAAATTTTTCCTTCAGTTTCTTCCATAACTCTTTCAATTAACACCTTAGCATACAGTTTACCCACAATGCTAAGCAAGCTGATACCACGGTAGTTTTTACAGTCCTGCTGCGACCCCTTTCCCTTATATATTGGGACTATAACGGCTTTGCACCAGTCTTCCGGTACCCGTTTCAGTTCCCAACATAAATTAAACAAGGTGTGCAGCAGGCCTGCAACCACACCCTCACCAGCCCTTAGCATTTCGAGTGATACTCTATCATATCCGGCTGCCTTACCTGCTTTCATGCTTTTCATTGCTTTCATTATTTCATCTACATTTATCTCCCTACCTCTCTCCACTTCTTCCGGAATTTCTATTTCACTTATTTCAGACGACTCTTCACTCTTAAACACGCTTTCAAAGTATTCCTTCCATCTCTTTAAATTCGAAACTTCATCATTCAGCATGCAGCCATTCTCGTCTCGTATAGCATTCATTCTAGGCTGTTTTGAATTTCCCCTGGCAGTTCTTACGAGCTTCCAGAACATTTTAATATTTTCCTTGAAGTTATCAGATATCCTTCTATAATTTTTATCTATCCTTTCTTGCTTTTTCCTTTCAACAACTTCTTTTAATCTCTTATTTATACGTCTAAAGTTTGCCTTTTTTCTTTCAATCTCATCATTCATACCGCCAGAATTACCAGCTTTAGTTGCTAGTAAATCTAGCCATGCTCTCTTCTTTGCTTCAACTTCCATCCGTACCTCATCATCCCACCACAACGTATTACTTTTCCTTTCATTCGTTCTCTTACTTACACCGCATACTTCGGTGGCTGCATCCACCAAAACTTTCTTAATATTATTCCATACATATTTACATATCCATTTATAAATAATCAAACATTTAAAAGAACGTTATTATGAGACGTGTGGCGGATGTAAGCAAGAAAGAAGTATTGAGCCATTATTGAGTCGGAATTATAAGCGTGATTAGTTGTAAAAATAAAGAATACGTTTATTTATTTCATAAATAAGTTCTTGTCCAGTAAAACCAAAGATGTTTCTAACGTCAGTTTATAATAAATCCATGAGTAAAACTGTGGATGTCGTTATTATTGGTCGTGGTTATACACCTGTATTAATATACAAGTAAAAGTAATTACTTAATTAATGATTTGTATTCTATAGTTAAGTAATTGTTCCAAGTTAGAACTGTCAAAAGTTAGAATTCTCAGCCAAGTAATAGTCACCATTTCCTTTACTTAAGCACTACTTTAAGGTAATTTTGCATAAAAAATGAAAACTTTGGATAGCATTGAAGCAACGAATATACAATATGTAACAAAAACCCTGTGGTTCCCGTTAAGTGCGTTATCAGAATCAGTATTCAAACGTATAGAAATAACCTTTATTTCAAAAAAACTTGAACATTAAAAAAATAATTTGCGAATTGTATGTGGTTTTATTACCTCTGCATTATCCGGACAATAAGAGGATTGTGAAAGACCCCCTTCACCGATTATCGTGTCAGTTAGAGGTAACAAAACCACATACAATTAGCAAATAATTTTTTTGAATTAAAATTAAATTTTTTAATGTTCAAGTATTTTGAAAAAAAAAAAATATTTCTTTACGTTTGAATACTGACTCTGATAACGCACTTAAAGGGAACCACAGGGTTTTTGTTACACTTTGTATGTATAATCTTTATAAGTAAAAAATCACGTGTCGGCACATAATCCATGTGTAAACTGAACATTTAAATTTACAAGGGTTATAACATGTCAAAAGTTTTGTTTCTCCAAGCATTCTTTTTTTTTTGTACTGACACAATTAAATAACAATAATGATATTATAAACTTTATAACATTAAATAATTTATATAACATTATTGCTGTTATAAATATCAAATAAAGTAATATCAAAGATATTATTGCAAGATTTTGTAAAAATAATCTAGCTTACGTTTGCTTTTTCATGAAAATAAACGCAGTCACGAAGTGTTGCCACACAGAAACAACAACTAAGCGTCGAGTGTTATTTGGGCATTTGCTCAAGTAAGTAAAGTGTGTTACTGAACTATAGAATGAGATTTTGTTATTAAGAATTCTAACCTTAAGTAATGACTTAATGAAGGAATTACTTAGCAACGAGTAATTACTTCTTTATAAATACGGGTGATAGTATTTCATCATTTTCATCCTAAAGCAAAGTATGGTGAGAGAGAGAGAGAGAGAGAGAAAGAGAGGAGCGAGAGCAAGAGAGAGAGGTAAAGAGCTTTTCACAAGTATTTCGGATATGTATATAAACTTTTTTTCAAACATCACCAACACTGGGATATTAAAATGCTTAAATTTCTACTTTTATCGCCTTCAATATCACGAACTTTATCGCTGATTTTATTCAATTTTTATTGTTATACTTTATTTTCAAAGAAGTTTTCAAAAACATAATAAAGTTAAAAACCAGTTATTAATTACCTATATCATTTTTGTTATCTTAAGGCTAGTGCAGATGTGTAGGTGCAACTTGCTATTAGCAAGCTTTAGAGTACACAGATAATCTAACCAGTTTGAAAAGCTGGTAAAGCTACTTAGGTGCAAGAGAAACACGGGGTATCAGGAAAATCTACATGAGCCTTAATTTTTTATAGCTTCTCTTGACATTCATGTTTGTTTTATTGGCTAATTAGAAGGATTTATTACAACTAGTATACATTACTCTTAACATTTCTATTTGTGAAGCAAAAGATGATAATACTAAAGAATTTTTACCTCTTCAGAACTTGGTTTTTCTTCCTCAGCTCAAAGATCAGTCCGCATGGATTATTTTTGGCGTTGACGTGCTCCAAGTCAAATCCATCCTCGTTTGATAGTGTTTGTCGGATTCGAGACATCTTAAATATATAAAAAAGGAAATGATTTATAGGAGATATTAAAGTTTGATAATTTATATCTGAAGCTTAAAGTAATTTTACCAAATCTTAAGCTATATAATAATTTAATCATTTAAATGACTATACTATTTTTGGAACCTTATGCGTTTTAAACAATCCGAAATAAAGAGTCAACAAGGAAGTAGGAATGCAATAATTATATTGTTGTTTAATTATATAAATAAGTAATCACAATGCTGAAAGGAGCACATTTGTGTAATTTTTCATTATTAAATGTGTTACCTGCACAGAATGCGGTCTTTCAATTCCTTGTAATGGTATAGGCGGCGCATCCCTAGTGGTTCTCACGTAAAGCGTAAAGTCATTCGGCGAGCCCCATCTCCCTTCGTGTTCGTTCTCTCCCTCACCTTCTCCATCTCCACTCTCTTCGTGACTTCCGTTTTGCATTACGTGCAGAGCTTGGCGCACAACACAGCGCGCATTCATGTCTGGACTCACTGATACCGTTTTACACTGCAATAAAAGGACTATTTGAATAAACATCATTGAGATGTTAATATTTTTGATCTGCAATGAAATTTAGTTTTTTATACTACGAAATATGATACATATTATAATGATTATTAACTTTTTTGGAAGTTGTATTTGAATTCCATTTTAGGAAGTCTAAATTTTAATATAAGTTTAACTTCTAGAATGTCTAGTTCCTTTGTGACGCCTAAAGTGTTCGTACGGTAGGGATTTTTTTGCCTCTGATATCTCGAGAACAAATCATGATATCGATGCGAAGTCCACCGATGAAGAATACCTGATTAGGTCTTCATTAATATTGATTTGGCAGTTTAAAAAAAACAATAAGTAATCAAATTAGAAGTTTATGGTGAAGGCAGAGCGAATCGCGCCCACACCCATTTATACATTTTATATGCCCTTACTTGGCTGAGGCCGAAAAAACCCGCGACTATTTTTATAAACATAAAATGGTACTTACGAATTCAACAGAACTCGCTAAATCTTTGTAAAAGATTTGAATATTTGTAGACTTTGGCTCTGTATTCAATTGTGTGTTTAAAGCGTTTTGAATTTTCCTGAAAGGAACAACGATAAGATTAGTGTGACATAAAATTAAGTAAGTAATTTCGAGTTCAAATTATAATCGTTTTATTCTTTCCATACCTGTACCAAGTATCTCTAGCGGCTTGCGTGGGATATGTAGCGAGGTAGTTAGCGATGCCAGTAGCAGTCGGCCATCCTATAAGGAAACCGGTGTCATCGCTTTCTGGCATTGAAAGCCATACTTCTGCCAGTCTCACACTCTCTTTTAATTTAAAGCAATTTGTTCCCCGCGATTTGCCGACTAACAGTAAGTCGCTGAAGAGGAACAAATGACGATCTAGCGGTGGGGATGTCGATCCTAATGGGCTCAGCTGTACAGGAGCCTCCATAATGAACGTCCGTGGTGACAGCGAGTTGTTTGAATTGACAGTGCCGCCAATGTCCAGGCTCGGCCTTTTACGAAGACTCTTTGATTTCTGAAAAACAAAATAAAGCCTATTTAAAAAAGAACTTTTATCACAAAATATTACATTTGTTTTTAAAAGACATCAAAGAACTATTTTAATTTCTTTTTAGTTTTTTGAAATCTGCTTTTACTTTTTATTATAAGTAATTTTTTTAACATTAAGAACTGATTAAGAAATATCAATCTCCGTTACTGTTCCAGCCTATTAAAGTTGCCACTGCCATTGAATATAGGCCTCCCCTATAGATTGAACCATATAGGCTATATTTGCCATAGTTGGCACGCTTGGCAAACGAGTTGGCAACCGCATTTTTTATATTTAGTTGTTATTAGGAAGACGCTGCTCCCCATCTCCCGATTTGTTTCCCTCCGTTTGTGTAGTGGCGATGTAAGAATATCACTACCCCATATCATCCCGTGGGTATCGAAAGACGCAACAGAGCAATCTCAATATAGTCTTATTAACTACATCATCCCTCACGTATTTAATACAAAAGGTATCATCAAAATCGTGTTAAATTAAATTAATTCTCGGGGTTAACACTCTTGTTCATTTTTCGGATTTACGTCATTGCACGTTATTAGCGCACCCAAAAATACTTATTATTTGACGCGGGGCAATCTTGAATTATTCTTGCAAAGGCTAACGCTTACTGGGCTAAAAGTTTTTTCAGCAACATCTGTGAACTCAGACGAATCACACTAAGGTAGTAAATCATAATATTTCTATGGAAATGTTTGTTTTTATAAGTCTTGAAAAGTATTATAGTTAACTAGAGTGATTTAATTTATTTCATAGACATATGAAGTCTGAAGATGCACAGACGTAAACTTTTTGTTCAACTACCTAAACACGTTATTTAAGCGTGACATCGTAACTCTTGTAGGCTGCTAAGTTCTTTATATTACCTAGATACTATTGTAGTTCAGAGACGGTCATCAAGGTTTAGTTACCTGTGCGTGATGCGAAGCGAGCGCGGCGGGTGCATCTGCATCGTGCAGCGCGAGGAAGTCGTGAGGGAACAAGTCCTGCACGCGCTCCAGATCTGAGAGGCGCGCCGCCCTTCTTCGCCCACACCCGCTACCGACCAGCCTTTCATACTGCGCGAGGCGCTCGATCTGAAAAAGAAAAACATTTCAATATGGTCACGAATTCGAAAACAATGAACTTGTTAATTAAAGTCACAAACGAGCTTACAGTTCATCTGATGGTCAGGGGAAACAATTAATATATAATTAATATATACGGTCAGAAAGTCTAAAAAATGATAGTAAAGGATACACAAAGTTGACACACAATAAAGGTAATATCTTAACATTAAGTATGCTACATATTCGGAAAAATAAATGCCGTTTAGCATTATTAAATTTTAACTGCGATAGGATAAAAGTATTATATTTCCTCACAACAAGACTTAGGTTAGTGAAATAACCCCAAAAGCTCTAATATTTTTTTTCTAGTGTTATTTTTGTTTGCGCCATAAGACAATATTTGTCTCCTTTTTATTACGTTCCTTCGTCTTTTTTTTCTATATGGGAATACCTTTTAATAGATATTGTTACGAGTTTGGGGTTCGAGACAATTAAAAACTGCCGAGTTAATTACCAAAATAGACGATTTAATTACAGAACACTAATTATAACTTAAAACCACACTAATAACAAAACACAATTGTACTACTGATCACTTTAGTTCGCAGTTGTATCGCTTCTAAGTATTCGCTTGTGTCGCCAACTCAACACTGACTGGGTCTTATTTTTCTGAGAGTGTATGCTGTTGGCCATGCGGCCTTTACAGCTTCATCGAAATAGGCTCGTAAATGAGGACTTACGAGCTATTGGGTGCAACGATTCTGCTGGCGGCGAGGCGGCGCTAAGCGCCGCATACTAACTTTAGTTATAAGTTTATAGTTTATATTATATAAGTTATAAGCTCAATTGTTACTAACCCATATGGATCATGCTGTCCGAAATACACGTGTATTATTATTATTATTATGTAGATTTAAAATTTTGTAATTAGTGAAATGTATAAAAGCTGTTGGTGTTTCGAATAAAAGAAATAAGTAAGTCCATGAGTGTAAGTAATAAAGTTCTAAAGCAATTAACTCTGCAAGGCGGAGGATATGCTATATGACGTGTAGGTTGTGCCACAAATATGCGGATGCCGAAGCTACGCTGAAAATTAACGAAATATAAATGAAAAAATAAAATACAAAAGATTTAATTTTTAACATAAATTAAAAATTGAATATGTATAAAATTAAAAGCTCTGTTCAAGCCGAACAATACTTATTACAAACTATATAAACGTACATGCCGTCACGGATATAATAATAATTTTAAATTAGAAATATGTATTACGCTTCATTTAATATAAGCATTGTAAAGCAGCGATCCTAATCTAAATTCTAATAGCATCGTACGTGAACTGTGTCCCAAGGGTGACTTCCCGAGCGTCTCACGACGCCTCTGTGCTCTCGACCGTGTCGCCGACAATGCTACTGTATATATAATAATAGGACATAATAGGACAAAAGAGCGTGGGATCACCACAAGGTTTATTATTTTGCTTTAGGGTTTACTACTTACACATAAATCCCCAAGGGTTGCAGTTGTAGGAGGGCCTTCAATTAGAAGAAGGCAGATTTTATGGAAAAAAAAAGTGACTGATATGTTACAGAATGATAGAAAAATTTAACACTGTTTTTTATAGGATAATGGTGGCAGTCCATCTGATGGTAAATGGTTGCTGTGGTCCATAAAATCTACGTCTACCCTCGTTTGCAAATCAAAATGCAGATACGTTGTCAGCAGTAAGGACTAAAATGGAATGCCTCTTTTCCAGTAAAAAGGGTTTTCGGTCCTCTACGCCCATCATACGAAACACAGAAGCATTAAGCTGGTATTCCGTGAGAGCGTGGTTATTCCCCGGTCGAGACGCCCCATTCGTGCTACAACTATACAATTAATATAGCTGCAGCATGGTTCTACCACGTACAATATATATATAAAAGAGAAAACATTTATAGAATATATATAATAATAATTTTAGTATCAATTCTGGTTTAAGTTTTATTTAACTTTCCTTATTATTAAGGGTTTGATTCGGTTCGTGTACACTATCGCAAATACAAAAGATAATATACTCGTATGTACCTAAGTAATAATAATAATAATAATTTTATTTCAATAAACTTTACAATAAATTCAAATAATAAATGTACCTCGGCTCTGTAACACAGTAGCTATTACATGTATTTAAGTATATATGTCAACTTACTTTAATACTTTTTTTAGCGCTTTCTATTTTGATTACTGCTGCACCGTCTCTTGTTTGTATATCTCTGTTTAGCCTAATGGTTGACTGGGAGAGTACAACTGGTACAACTTTGTGCATGAAAGATTAAATAAATAGCTAAGTTTTTGGCTGCAACGCTGTGGGCCGTTGATTCGAACCCCTACGGGTCAAATATTTGTATGGCATAAAAATGTTTTGATGTTTGATGTGCAACTTATTGATGTAAAATGTCTTCACGATTCAGGTGAAAGTGAATATAAAAATATATTAATACTAGCTGTGCCCCGCGGTTTCACCCGCGTCATAACGTGTCGGAGGTGCGCGACATGACCTAGTTCAAGCATTTTATAATTGCAATTAAATATTTTATTTGATAGCAATGGATGGAAAAATTGGCATAATTAATGGAGTACTTTTATCTATCGGCATATTATGTACGATGTAGAGCGAAGTTAAGTTTTATCCACTTTCCCTCCCCCTCCCGGTTGAGCAGTTCTCGCAGTTCTCACCGGGCGGCTAGGGTAAATGTGTCGTTCGCGCGCCCAGCCAAGTATTGAATTATTTTAATTTTACATTATCTCTTAAACTATGCGTCCAAATAACATGGTATAAAGACCAAAGTTTATCTTCATAAAATTGTCTTGATGATGAAGTAACTTTCATCCGTAAAGATAAATAGGCCATGCCTAATAATAACGCTCATAAATCACTTTTAAATTTTCAAAATTTTTTGTCACAAAATACCTAATTATGGCTTATGTATAAGAAATAGACATATGGTATCGCAGACTTTTTTTAGACGGAGTAAAGATCTATATTTTTCTAGAACATTGTATTTACGTATCCCTAACGATAACACCAGCGTACGCGGATAAATCATTTCAGGATTGCATTTTCTTCTGACTTGCTTAACAAATATCTATATTTAAGGCTAGCTGAGTGATATAGCTTAATGCTAGATAGCCTATACTATTCCACATGAATCTGGCTATAATATACAAAAATAATTTTTCAAATCGGACTGGTAGTTCCAGAGATTAGCGCGTTTAAACAAACAAAAAAAAAACAAAAAAAACTCTTCCGCTTTATTATATTATAACATAGTATAGATGTAATAATCATGGCAACGTGTATTAACGGCATAAGATAATTCACTACACCATATTATCATCCTGTGGATGTCGTAAGAGGCGTCGGAGGGAAATAAAATAGTCATTAGCATCTTTTTAATAACAACTTCAAATAATAAAAAAAGCTGCCATTGCAATCCGCCTTTCATGTGTGGCAGCTTTGACAAATATCCCTCTTATGAGCAATCTATGCTATTGAGCAATGTACTTTAGTTTGAAGAGCCCTAACCGCCATCTTAAAATCTTGAACACTGCTGTTACTTGCATCACAGCAAACATTACCAAATCACCAATCACCACCGCTACGCAGGTATACAAGCAGCGCTTAGCAGTTAACTTACTCGTATTTTAAGTATCATTGTACGATAAATATGCTTTATTTAAGGACAGTAGAGTGTCTATTTAATTATGAACTTTAGCATAATGTAGAGAGGATGAAAGAGATTTTGCACCATGTTATGTAATGGGTAATGAAGGTGAAACGAATAATTACTTACGAATGAAAACATCTAAGAATGTCATTGGTTAAAAAGTAGCATAAATTTCTGATTAGTACCTTTACAAGTAGTAAAATTAAATTTTTTACAACCGACTTCAATATAAATATAATTTATTGTTGATTTAAAAAAAAAGAATTTTCCAAATCGGTTTAGGCGTCTTCGAGTATTCGGGTTACATACATAAAGAAATATTCCGACGAATTGTAAACCTCCTCCTTTTTGAAGGCGGTTAAAAATAAGATTTCAAGGCGCTGTTGATAAAAAGGTAGACTTGGAAAGGTAGAACTTAAATTAATAATAAATTTACTTTTGTATATATCTCACCGCATCGCGTCCTAAATGACATAAAAAAAAATTAAGGTAAAAATCATCTAACGATACTAATTATTTTATTACTTCGTCGAATAAAAGACCTCAACGCGCCGAAGATTTCTGAGGAGTTAATTATGGATTACCTAATCACCATCACTTAACAAATGTGTACACCTTTTTATTTCTATTCTTTCTTTTAGAACAAGAGTTGGAAAAGAGTAAGTGTATGCTGTGGCCCATAGACGTTTACATCTATCCTCGATTAATAATGATTTCTTATATTTACGCGAACACTATAATACACTTTGCATAAAATTACTTTTACGGATTGTATCGCCTTTAATACTACTTAGTTACACGGAGGCGCCCGTGTTCATGGATACTGCAAAGCACCCGAAACGTTGGGAATTAAAAATAAGTAGTATTAAACGTGAAAAAATCCGTAAATGTAGTTTTATTCAATATCCTCGATTAAGTTGTTGCAAAATCTAGATAAGTTGTCACCCCAGATGCATCATTATATCGCTATAGCTGCAGGCTACAGCATGACCCCTACCACGTTTGAAATTGAATGAAATTCATATTGTGTGGACTATTTGGTTTCTTATTCTCCTTGTAAGCAGGAACTACCCAAAACTCTTTTTTGTAAACTTGTGAGTACTAACGCATGTGATTATTTAATTAGTCTCGCAAAAACTTCAAAATGGCTCGACCGATTTTGATGAATTTTTTTGTGTTTGAGTAGGTCCCTGAATAGTTTAGATTTACAATTTGACCCGGTACGTGCCGCTGTCAATATCCTGAAATCACCCGTGCGAACCCGGGGCGGATCGCTAGTGTTCAATAAAGATTACGTGTCACATTGACTGATCTCAA